GCGCCGGGGTCGTTCCCATGCGTATTGCAGGGCGTCTCCGACCACTGCGCTGCAGGCGTACCTTAGTTTGCTTATGTAGCATATCATGTCCATATCTTCTATTCCTTCTATATCAAATCAGTTTTCCAATGTTGGGGGTTAAATCCTTTCCCATTATTAGGATACCTGCTTTGAAATCTTTTTTATTCTTGAAAATCAATTTTCAGCCTCGTCCTATCAACTTTGAAGACGGTTCTCTGGATTATACTGAGATTGATGATATCGCACCACTTCCTTTATATGCGTTGATCACCGCTGATATGGACACAAACGGCGTAGCTGGAGAAAAAGCCGAGGCTTTTAGCGGTGTATGGCAACTTTCTGTTTTTATATTACGTAGACCTTAAGCTGAGTATGGTCCTTTTCTTAAGTCATCTTAGCTGTGAAAAGTACAACAGCAAAAGGTTGGTGTGATTATTAGTTTGTGGAGCCAAGAAATTTTTCTTTTTTTCATGAGGATTCCACATTTTATGGCAAAATAGAGGTTTACATCAGTCAGAAGTTCTTGCTACAAAATATGTTTCTAAGAACTCGTGAAAACCATTTCTTAACCCATTCCTATAGGATTTTCGTCACATCGCTTACTTTGGTCTGTTATCTTTGTAAATATACTTAGTTGAACAGCGGTCGGTTTCAACTATTCTATATGGTTTCTTTTTTCCAGCACGTCTATCCTTCTTACGATTCGCTCTTTTCGTCCGATAAACTGGACGACGACGATCTTGACGAAATGCTTCGTGAAAATGACTCTGTTGGTCATACACGTTGTCCATCAACATCAAGCGTTGATGCTAAAGAAAGTTCCTTCCCTATATCCTTTACTGCGGAACATAACAGGTTAGTTCTTCTGCCCCTTTTTGTGTAAGTTAAGTTTTTGTTTCTTATGCTTGTGAATATTTCCTCATGTTTTGAAGGGCTCTTACTGAACTCCTCACCCACACACATCTTCCTGGATTGTCAAGTGTTGACCAGATGCATTTGCTGGCTATAGCTGACACCTTGAGTCACTTTTCTACTAATGTTATTGATAAATTGACACAAGCTAATGCTGGTTGGATATCGTTCAACTCTTTTTTGCAGGAAATGGAAAAATTTATTACTGTGTTGTTATATAAATTTTCCTTTAGCAATGAAACCTGTGACACCTTCGGTACTGGGAGATTCGATGGCAGGAGGTTATGCAGCTGCCGCATCTGGAATAGAGACTGTCGACGAATGTGGACTTCGATATTTAATGGCCATGAAACAGCACGAATACCTTCTGTTATGTCTTCCAATCAAACAAAGGATGGAGCTAAAGGTTTGTCATACAAGTTTTCTCTCCGATGACCTAGTATTAGTGTAGTAAAACTTTTGTTCAAGAAAAATGGAATTGCTTCATCGGATATTATATGGGCACAACACTCGGAAACAGAGACTGAGCTCTTGAATGCCATTCCTAGTTTGCAAAAATCTAATCCAACGTGGGAAGAGCTGAGAAGTCTCGGAATTGCATGGTGGCTCAAAAATACCGCCAGCTTGAAGATATGCGTGGAAAAGGTGCATTTTAGTTGTACTTAGACGGCTATGTGCACGATTTCCTTCATTAATAGCTTTCCTCACGTCTTGATCTTGAATGCTTTGTAGCTTTTCAGCTCGCTAAAGCTGCCTTCCAACAGAACCAAGACCCTATGGATTCCTCTTTGTTTTATCTTGCCCTCAAGAAAAAAAATCTTTTGACTCATCTTTTTAAGGTAAAATTTCATACAGTGAAACCTTTCACTTAGATACAATTTCGTTCTTAAGCTGCTATTTGGTGCGATCAACGGATCGGCCGATTTTTTTTTGTCATTTATACTTAATTATTATTCCTCAGACCATCCGTAACCAGCAAATGGCGGACTTTTTCATGCAAGACTTTAACACTGATCATTGGAAAAAGGTGAGTGGTAGGCAGCAAAGGAGTACAGAATACGGAAATAAGAGGCTTGTTTTGAAGTCTTAATCTAATTAATTCTTTTGGGTTGCTGCCAAAAACGCGTTCGTCCTGATGAGCAAGCAGCGATTCCAACACGCAGCTGCATTTTTCTTGTTGAGTGGTGGCCTCAGGGATGCACTTCAGGTACATAAACTTTTTCGTATGTTGTTTTTTTGCGTTATTTTTGTCGATAAGTTTATTTTAGACCATTCTTTATAAATGCAATGATTTACAATTGGCAATGGTAATTCTGAGACTGTATGAATCTGATATCGACTCCCAGCAGTCGCTGCTCAAAGATATGTTGTGTCGGTAAGTGTGTCGTGGTTTTCCCATATTTGTCACAAATTCCACAAGTGTCACACATTGTTCGTGCATGTTTTTAGTGAAGTCCTTGGTCAGTCTGTCGAAGAGTTCGAACAAATGCGCGGAAATGAAGANGAAGATGATAGCCCTTTAGGCTATGGAGCAAGCAGGTTGTTGTATCTCAGTCGTGGAACCGTCATAACAGGTATTATATCAATTAATTTTAGGGACCCGTTTGTCCGATCAATGGCATACTGGATATTAAAAGACTATTCTCGCTCGGCTCATACGCTTGTCCAAGAAGCTCATGGAGATAGTGCTACCTTACGCACAAATCTTTCGGATATATTTAATTTCTACTCTTTTCTGCGAAAGCATCCACTGGTTATGAGGCAGCGTCTCACCAACGCTGGTGCTCAGGTTGGCGAAATCATTGTATGACAATTTTTGTATTTAGTTGCTATGCTACGTTTAGGTTGGCTCAACTGAACAATTCCTTGTTGTCGCAAAGCAGTTGGAAACGCTTGTGACTCCATCGGAACGCCGATGTTGTATTTTTCAGCGAATTTTCGCCATGGTTGTAAGGGGCTTCTCACTTTCTTTATCTGTATCGGCTATTTGTTCAGGTTATATTTTCGAACCGCTGCTGAGCACATGGCTCACGGTTGTCCTATGCTTGCACTGGATGTGTTAAGTCGGCTGCCGAAAAATATCAGCATGGTTAAAGATGGATCTTTTAGAACACTCATAACAGGACAAGTAGCGAATACTTTTGTGGTTTAACGTTATTCTGCATCGTCCTAAATTTATTCTAGGTATCCTCTACAATTCCAGTTATTGATTCTGTTGAGAATACTGTGGATTGGAGCAAACCTTCGAATGTTATAACTGTATGACATCGCCTATTCCTATTTTCGTAGGAAGTAGAACACTAGATAATTAATTTTCCAGAATGAGGATCTTGTCTTGGAGTACAGTGACGACGATGATAATGAAGAATTCGACGAAGATGGAAATAAAACCTCTAAGAAAAGCGCATTGTCGAATGGGATTGATGCCCCACATCCAGATTCAGTAGTGCATGATGGAAACCAGTTTTTCAACGTTTGTTGGCTTTTAGTTTCGGGTTTTTTCGCAATCTCTTCATTTTCTATGAAAATTGTGTCAGGATGTGAGTCGAACACCGGATGTTATTGCCCAGCACTTAAAATTCGTTGCATCACTTAGGATTCTCACGGAAGAATTATCCACATTGGCTAGTGGTTTTGAAGTTGATGGTGGCCAGTTGCGATACCAGGTTCATTTTTTTACTGAGTGATAATTTCCATTAAAGTTTGTTCATAGAAATAGCTTATCAGTCGTAGATCTAGTCATTTAGAAACTTAGTCTTTCTTTAATGAATTTAACAAGTGCTGATGTTCGTCGGTGTTTAGTTGCTGATTTGGCTTGATAAGGAGGTGAACATTTTGCAAGATTTGTGTGATTATCAGTCAACTTCTGATGCACATGAGAATAATGACGAAAATTTCGAACTGGAGAGTGATTCTAAGTAAGTTTTTGTTGCCTTTCTATATCACCTTCAGAATCAAGAGTGCTAATTCTTTTCAGCAGTTCCTGTAGCCTTCATGACGCAATAAGAAAGGATCGCACTGAGATTGTAGCGAAACTACAAGCAATCAAAAAGAGACGGAAATGGCTGATTGCTAACCAGAAACTGTTGAGGTTGACTTTTCTGTCAATAGTTGGGAGCTGTAGCGTTACTGTTCTTCAACTGCGTTTATCTTACTAGGCATCCCTAAGCCGTTTTAATTTTTCAACCCCTACTAATATTTAATTATATTGCACGTCTGATGCTGAAATATACTTACTTGGATGCTTGGATGGCCCATCGTCACTTGTTGTGCTTTCCCCGGCATAATCTCCATTTTTCGGAGTTTTGCTGGTTTAACCATTGTACTTCTCTGGAGTTCCGAGGTCAGCCAGGCCAAAGTCTGCCCCAGGTCTTCACCACCGCTGGCAGTCGTCGGCCAAAGGGAGTTTTGTTATCATGCGATTAGTTTGGTACCAGGTTGCTGGTGGAGCCTGGTATTGGTTTACTCTTAGCTGATCTTCCTGATGGGTGAGCCGGACTTCTCAGCTATTATGTAATAGTTCCCAAGCTTGACTTTCTATTAACTTCGACATTCGATGATAAATCTGTGCGGACCGCAGGTGTCTGCGGTAGGGAACGAACGCGCTATTGTCCTTTCCGGGGAGTAACGCATTCACTACCACACCATGCAGGTCCTTCGTTTCGCCTGTCTCTCAGCTAATCCTATTTATCAGCGCCATCGGCAATCACCCGTCAACGGGTCTGAGCTAGGTAGTGCAAATCTTTGTTCTTTTTGCCTATTTTATTATTTTTTTTATTATTAAACCTATTGTGTTCCGCAGTAAAGGATATAGGGAAGGAACTGTCTTTAGCATCAACGCTTGACTATTTATGCTCGATCTTCCCAATGCACATTCAATGGGAAGAACTGGAGAAGACCACTTAGATTTCATTAGAAGCTAAGCCCAACCGGCTAGTTCGCCCAAACGTAAAATCAGACTACTAACCTGCATCGAACTCAACATCATATCATTCGGAAAGCGTTCGTTAATCGTTGACTGTCAGTTATGGAATGTTTTTGTATGTTTAAACAAGAATGGTAATGCTTTGGTGGGGAAGAAAATCAATACTTGTATGGATACTTGAATGCCTGTCTTCAGAAATCTTGCGGATGGACCTATAACGAATGGAATCAAATACGTGGCGGTTTCGTAAAGAACTTATCAGTGCCGAGCATTTTATCCTTTATCCGCTTCTCCGATTTCATGCATTGTTCTACAAAAACCTGTTAAACTATCAGAAACGCGTCAGCACAGCATCTGCATTCCTTAAGTCGAATGATGTATACAACACTAATCACGATAGTCTGCTATCATTTAGGCACTGTTGTCGTACTTGCTCTTAATTTTAACTGTGGTGTGTTTCATTTCTGTTTTTGCAACCGACTTTAGCGGTCATTATTGCAAAGTGTTCCATCATGGATGTGAGTTTGACTCGCTTTCTGTCCCAACAGTCTATTATGAGTAAATGGTGACGCATACAAAGAGTAGTTTGTTGTTTACAGAACTTATTGGACGTTCTCCCATTTAATACAGCGACGTTAGAAAAACGGCAGCAACTTCTTCTCCGATTACTGGAAGGAAATAGCACACCGGAGGGTGAAGTGCGTGTTACCTACATATGCCTTATGTCTCTCTATTCAACTGTTCTAAAGGCGTAATGCCCTTAAAAAGCTTCTATTCAACTGCCAAAATATAAAATGTCGAGCCGGTATGTTACAGGCGGCGAGCGTCTTATTCTTCCGGCTGTTGTCCAACAATGATACCTTATGGCATACAGTTGACCCGGCAAATTATCCACGCCTGGTAAGTTTCATAATCAATGTGTAGAAGTTAGTTTGATGCACCGAACTTAGTACATTTTTTAATAGTCTCCGTTCACTCGCTCATATTCTTTTCTTGCAACTACTCCTGGGAAATAGATTGAGTATGTGTCATCCATATACACTAGCAACCATCGGACTTTGTAAATTTAGAAGTAATTGTCCTATTCCGTAGCAGACAAGCGTAACACTATCGTCGATGAGTGCAAATACGAGTATTTCGGAACGAATCTTAGTTCACAACGAAGGTTAATGTGCATCAAGATATTCATATGCCTTAAATGAACTGCTCATCACTGTTGTCCAAATGTAGTGCTGAGTTTCGAGCGTTGTCAACTGAAAAGCGATTCTCTCTAACTTTGGCCAACGATTTCGCCACCACCACACTCATGGGTCTTTGTGAAATGGACTCTCACTGGCTGTTCTAGCTCATTATTGCGCTGCACCACTTTTAATTACTAAAAGAAGAAGGGAAATTTCATGCTTTTCTCTTTTGGCGTCACCTTTTCCATGACAATGGACGATGGCATTGAAGTAGTGTGCAGATTTTCTTGAGTTGTTCACATCTTAAGGTTAAGGGGTGCGTGGGTTGCTCTATAAATAGTTCCTGCTTCCCATGCAAGTACCTCGTTTTTTTTCTAGTGCTATACTATCGAACTTTTTGGTATGGAGGTAGTACGGACTCGAACCATAGTGTATATCAAGAATTCGTTCCAAACATGACCGCTCAAGTTGAAAAAGAGTTTTATATTTCCATTCAGAGTGACAACTGATTATAAACTCATGTTTGAAATTGAGGCCCATCTGGATGAAACCCGACTATAAATCCACACACCTGTCATTCAGAAATGCATAGTGAATTCAGCTTGTTAAAGAAAAAGAAGGAAAAGAAAGTAGAAAAGGAAATGGAAGAAGCGTACTATATTAATTACTTGAAGACTTGGACGGCCCGTCCTCATTGGTTGTGTAGGTCCCAGCACAACCTCGATTTTTCGGGGTTTTGCTTGCTTAGCTGTTGTGTTTTCCTGGAGGCACGAGGCCAGCCCAGCCAAAGCCTGCCTAAGATGTCACGACTACAGGCAGTCGCCACCCTTGTGAATCAGAGGGGTATTTGCCATCATTCGACTAGTTTGATACCAGAACGGTGGTCCTTTTTAGTATTTGTTTCCTCTTAGCTGAGCTTCCGGGTGGAAAAGCCGACTGCTCAGCTTGAGAGACCCTGTCGGTGGATGAATCACCCCGCTGTATATTGCAGCCCGACACCTCGAAACACCTCCCAGCCACTATGAGGCGGTAAGCCGTTGGAAGGCATGAAGCAAAAGCAGAGGTATACTATCACACGATGATATTTTTCTGTGGTACCCACTCGTTAACGATTTCTCTACTGCGGTCATCATTAACATACTCTAGCATCATCACAACGTCAATGGAAGATTCTCATGGTCATTTTTGACAACCTAGAGTGACCAGATATTTTAGCCACCTCTCCGTACTCTCTGCGCCTAACAATATCGTTTTAGTGGATCTTCTATGATCAGTGGAACGGGCCACTTTATTTTTGCTGTTTTTGACAAATGACCTAAGAAGGCTTATGGAATTTTTGAAGCTACACGTGAGGTTATTTGTTGGAGGTGACGCTGAGCTATTCACCGTATCTTTGTCAGTCACTTTATTGCTTTTTTAGTTAGTCGAAGTGAGATTCTTGTACAGCAAACCTACGTGGCATGTATTCACGAATACGATCAGGTGAATACGAAACGAAAGCAAGGTGTTCCATCACAGAAAACTTTGAAATTTTATCACGCGAAGCATTTAACCTCATTCTCCGTCCTGGTAGCCTTTGTATCACAGCGAATAATGGGCTCAGGACTCCTCGTTAAGAGATATGGAGAGATGTCAACAATAACAACATTATGTTACCACTATCCCCTATAAACTCGGTGATTATAGACTTATTCGAGCTGGCACCCAAGAAATTCCCTAAAAGTAGTTGACTGGTGCCAGAGCTGTTTATAGCGTTGCGATCGCTCGAGAAACACGAATATCATGACGGTCCTGCTCCGAGGCCTTTTATTATTAGCATTCCCATCACAATAGCACCCACATGTGGCTCATCAAGTTGTGGTTTCCATAAATTTGCCCTTGACTGGCTTAACATGTGGAAACGTCGAACTTCTCAGCTTGAGTGGCTTTCTGGTGATGAAGCTCCCACAGAGCATCGCACTGCTACACCGAACTGCATATCTATACACAGATTACTAGTTTAATAACAAATATTATTACTGGAATAATTACAATATCAATCGGCTAAGAGATGCTAAGAAATTGGCGTAACTTTTTCAGGTCTATGTTCTGCTGCGTATTGTTGTGAATTTTACGTGTTCAAACGAAACACGAGCAAACGCTGCATGGGCTCTCAAGAATATGGCAGGTCGTACAAAAGAGATTATTCACATAATTGTTAACCAGGTAGGACTTGATCAATCAATAACTGCCGATTCTTTTAATTCTTCAAATGTACTGAGCCTTATGAGTTAAATGGGACAAATCAAAAAAATTTTCCTTCCATCAAACAATTAAGCATTGCTGAGAGAATCATCAACCACTCTTTTGATGAGTAAATGGCGTGCGGTGACGCAAAAACATGAGAATAAGGCGTGTCACTCGCGAAGAACGCACCCATAATATTTCTTTCGAACTCCTGATCACTGAATAGTTTTAGGGAGGTATTGAGGTCTTAAGAAAAGGCTTAACACTCAGTACAGATGGTCTTCCTCTTCAATGCATCTCGGCTTTATCAGAGATTGCAAACTGTTGCGTTCATTGTAAGAAGAAATGTCGCCAAACCGGAGTTGTTTCCGTAAGATTCCATTATCTAATCACCACGAAGATGACGTATCATTGGCAAAACGTGCAAAAGAAACCGCAATTGAGTTGGTGACGGTCGTCTAAAAGTTGTTTGTGTCAAAAAATTTTTGAACGTGATATGAGCTTACTTACCGTCACCGTAACACTGGAATATTGCTGGCGCTTTCAGACTATAGCGGATATATTAACTGAAAGAAGGCAACCTGAAAGTA